GTGACCGAGGTGGTATACACTTCACCATGTGCGACGCCATGTGGATGGTCGCAGCATTGGTAGAGTGCACGTACGCTTGAGCCTGTGCTTGCACCCAGGCTTGTGAGGAAGCCTTCTAGTTGTGAGGAGATAGAGGAGCCGGCCGAAGGTGTGCAAGCTCTCCTGTAGTTACTTCCTGCTATAAACACAACTGTACTTCTCCTAGTTCTGATGTTTTATGCCAATAAATAAATGAATGATTGAGTGTGGAATGGTACGAGGCTAATCCAATGTGTGGGGCAGTAATAGTGTGTTGCTAGCCGCAATGTGTAGGGAGACAATGGGTGCGGCTTTCACAATTAATAAAAAACGACCTCAAACCTAAAAAATCAAACAGAAACAATCCTGTAGTACCCACAATTTAGACAAAGTGCACCAATATGTTTTTGGATTTAGTCGTTTTGAGCTAATAGTCAAGTTTACACAGATCAGTCGCCAAAGACTCTCACAACTTCAAGATGACACGCTCCAGTGGCATCAAAACTACACATGGGAAGATTAAGGTGGCGGATGTGATGCCAGATCCTTCCAGATGATGTGCGCAGTCCTTCAGCATAAAGCTTCATGGTGGAGACATCAACAGAGAAATTACTCTAATGACGTTTAAAACATAATAATTTGTCAATTAGCAGATCGCATTCCGCAGTGGCAGATGATGAATATGGAATGTTACAGTACTCTTAGAGCAGCATCAATTGCAATCCTCTGATAGGCGTTCTACACGCCAGACCGATAGAAGGAAGGAGCACTGTGGAGTCGGTGCAGACATTCCCCTACCACACGGTTTCTTGCATAAGGTATTTTTAGATGCATCGTAATTATCCCAATTTTTCCCAGTTAGTCTAATGCTACCAGTTGTACTCGTTTCTAACACTTGGCAAACGCACGGCTAAGCGTTGTATTCCGCCGCGCTAAATCCATGGGCGGAGTAGTAGTGGTGATACATCAAGGGAAATGCAGTGTTAAGCAAATATGTATATCATGAGTAATTTGCATTTGCCATGTGTGATTACAAGGCGAAATATGACAATTACGAAACGAATGCAAGTAATATGTATTTCCGTTGCACCTACGAGGAGCATTTAAAATGTTTGCTAATTAGAGCCGAAGAATCACATTTTTTAGAATGGCTACGCAAGCTGTGATGCAGAGAATCACGAAATGCAGCATTTAATTAAGCAGCACCAAGTTAATGAGGTGGTTAAGGCCACTGGGGAGCGGAAGTATTGCCGAGAGAAATGTCACTTTTATCTTTTCAGTGATTTGTCACTGCGTTAACATTGATTACTGAAACAATACTGATTAGTCACTTAGCTGCA